CTTTTTGGGTATGTGAATCCCACACAGATGGTCTCTTACTAATGAATAACAAGAGTTTTTCTTAAATGTGTTCCAGGTTCCTTCTGATAAATCCGACAGGAAAAGTAAGTAAGGTAAAACTTTATTTAGCCACCGGGTCAGCCTTCGTGACTATGCTAGTAACATATAACGAATATTAAACTTGATCGAGGTCCTTAAACAGTTTCACTCCTTAATATTTATTTTGTTTACGGTGTTCATTTATGATGCATTTCACCTTTGCGCGGGACCTCCTCCGATTTTTTTCTCTTTCGATTCATTGAAGTACGCCGTCTGATTATTGACTTCATTAGGAGCCTAGCAAGCTTAGGCCCAGTCGTCCACACTACACTGGAGGAATTTAAAAACGCAACAATCACTGGTCGTTTTATATTTTTGTCTCAGGAAATTTCGGCCAGGGAAATCAAGTGTTTCTTCTGAACCTATCGTGTTCGAAACGGTCCATTTTAAAATGTTTTCCGTCCACATTAAAACTCAGTCAAAGTTCAAATTCCTCCAGTTTAAAGAGCGTTTTCGTAAAGCTCCGTTTTCGTGACGGATTACTCTGGACCGGAGACCTAACCGTAGAAATAAAGCTGTATGTGATTTTAAATTCCTCCGACGTAGTGTGGACGGAGTCTGGAGCAAACTACCACGCTAATGAGCACCACCAAACAAAACGTTTAATGAGCAAAACGAAGGCTGTACAAGTATGTTCAGTAAACCTTTGTACATTTCATAGCCACCCTCTGCAAAACAACATCGCAAAATGACCGCGAAATCGAACGCGAACGGTAAGTCGAACTGCTTATTTTTCGTATTTCCCGTTTAGAATTGAGCGCTGTCATTACATATTTAGCCTGAGCGAGGTTTTAGAGCCATAGGCATGCTGAACAAATTCAATTTTACAAGGCGTTGACCTCGGAGTCGCTGTCGTCATTGTTAAGATCCCTATATTTGTATCTCAGATGCTGGAAGGTCGATACACTTGTTTAACGTGGGGTCTGTTTTGCTTTATGCTTTGCTCGTGTTTTATCGCAAGACCAGGCGAACACAGATGACAGTATCGTGAAAAAACCGTAAAAAAATCACATAAATTGCAGCTCTTTGCCAAAGTTCTTTCTAATTCAGCGATTAAGTTGTCGAGCGTTTCGGTAGGAAGTTTTTCCCTCCTGCTGAAACAATCTCGTTTACGTTAATTCGCCGATGCAATGCCTTTTCATCTTCCCCATTACTACACGGCAATTGTTTGCATCATCTTCTTCAGTATAGTTTAAGGCTTTGAACACTTAAAGGCCATCGTCATCTATAACGTTCTTGAACATGGCGAGTTGAAACTCGGGGCTTTCCTACTCCAAAGTAATTATTACAGTATTTAATTTCTCTTTCCATAGCTTCCAGTTCTCGGACATCTCTTGACCTCAAATCTAAATGTTGCGGAGACAATGATATCTGGTGGAATAACATTGAAAATTGTGATGCTTTAGGCGGCGTGGCACCGGAAGGTAGTTTTCGCTCTTAGGCATTCGTAGACGGTAGACTGGTTGCCGACGAATTTGAACTACCCTTTCGCTGCAACGTGTAATATTAGATGGCGGAGAGAAACTTAAACGAACGTCATTAATCAAGGCTTAATCTGGCTACTGTAACTCAAGATACACAAGATGAACGCGTATTTTCAGTATATAACTGTATGTATAGCATAAATTACAAAGCCGTTACAGAACATAAGCTTGCATATAAAGAATATTTGGCAAATTAGCATATTAAAACCTTAAATTAAGATATGTCCGCCATTTTGAATAATCAAATCCAGCCGGTGTCAGAAATTCGTTTGTCTAGTTTGGCTATGTCGTCAGTGCTATCTCATTGGCTCACAGCCAGGCGTTTTGTTCTTTCGCTTTATAAGTGCGACACCACCCGGATGGTTGGGCCGCTAGTTAACTCCAAAATACACATCTCTCTTAATCTCTCTTAAAACAATACCTCCTGGATATATAATCAAGTATTCTTCCTCAACCATTCCCCGAAATATCCCCGCAGTATCCCCTCACAGCCTGCATTTCAGTAATCCCCTACATATACCTTAACAGCCCTCATTTCATTAATCCCCCACATATACCTACACAGCCTACATCTCATTAATCCCCTACATGCACCTATACAGCCTACATATCATTGATCCCCGACATATATCTAAACAGCCTACATCTCATTAAACCCCAGCATATACCTACACAGCCCACTTCTCGTTAATACCCTACATACACCTACACAGCCTACATCTCATGATATATTAATCCCCAACATATACATACACAGCCTACATCGTATTTATCCCCTACATATACCTACACAGCCTACATTTCATTAATCCCCGATATATACCTACACAACCTACAGCTCATTAATCCCCTACATATACCCACACAGCCCACATCTCGTTAACTCCCCAACATATACCTACACAGGCTACATCTTATTAATTCCCCACATATACCTACACAGCCTACATCTCATTAATCCCCCAAATATACCTACACATCCTACATCTCATTAATCCCCCACATATACCTACACAGCTTTCATCGCATTAATTCCCAACATATACCTACACAGCCCACATCTCATTTTTCTCTCGCATTTATCTTGACAGTTTACATTTCATTCAACCGTTTCTAGAGTCATTACTCATTATATTCAGTGGTTATCAACTCATGTAGAACCAAGTGGTCTTAAGGTATCTTGAAACAAGTAAATTGACAATCGCTATTCAAATCATCTGTTCACTTGTAGCGTGCGAACAGGCTCCCTCAGTTTTGGGTTAATGGGTTTAGTGCCAGCTAGCCAAGTGTGGTCTAGGGCGAGCGGGGAGAGCCGAGAGCGGAATGGTGACGAGGGGGAGCGCAATTCACGGAATTCTTTTTATCGCGCTTGACGGCTCGCTTCGCTCGCCGAATGTCTTTTCCGCCTCCCTGGAATTTTTTTTTTTCCGCCCTCGCTGGGAGTCTGTCCGCAGGTTAGTTCACTTGCCGTGCGTTCAGCCGTTCGAACGGCTACCGTTAGGAACGTTTTCGCGTAAGAGGTGACATATTTGCCGATGCATTTTTGTGGTTGAATCGGAAAAGTTCTTCTTTTAACGACGCTTTTAGGATCGAGAAAGTAAAATTGGCGATGTACCTACTTCTTTTCACGTGACGCGTGACTGATGAAAAAATTTATCCGTGATGCGTGATTTAATAGAAAAATTCAGCGTGATGCACCCCACTCTTGCAACCCTCTTCTCACGTAGAAAGAGCGTGTTTGTTTGCTCGAGGTCGTTTTCATCTATTTCCAAACGAAAAGGTGTTTCTTCTCCAGTATAAGTGCTGTATTAAAACGAGATTTTTAAGATGTTCATCCCAAGAATGTTTTGGCCTTACGGTAATTGTTTGGTCACAACTCTCTGATTATGTTGACATTACCTATTAACGCCTAAAGGGAAATCTCTGAATTTTTCTCATTATGTGACTCCTATCAAGCCAAGATCTCACCGGTCATCAGGAGCTTTTTTATATGTGAGAAATTCCCTTCATTCTTGTATTTCCTTGTCTTTTTACCGATATTTAAGACCGCAAGTTTGTTTTTCGCTTGTGACATGTCTGAGCACGTGCAAAATGTCGTAGCAGTGTCGTCGTAAATGCAATCGTAGCATAAAGGAAAAGAGAACCGTCACAAAAGCCAAAGCTTGGTTTGTGGGGGCTTGGAAATTTCCACCAAAAAATCTTCGCATAGTAAAAATGCCCAGACTTTTTGCCACAAAAATTCAATGGCCCGAGGCTGTGCAGATAGTCTATGATTGATAAGCCCACCTTCTTAGAAAGGTCTAGAAAACCATTCGCGTTAAGGCCTCTAGTAGGCCTCTTGTAAATTGTTGCAAGCCAAACAACACCTACCCTGACCCACTCCTCCCAACCTGGGGATTTTATGAAATTTGCTTTTTCTTTCTTTCTTTCATTTCTTTTTTATTGTTAGTTCGTAGCTTACTTAAGTTGTAACTGAAACCCTAAAAAAGATAATAACTGCAATTGTTTTTCCTTTCCAATGGTTTATAAACGGGTTTTTGAGCTCTAAGCAGCATCTGACCCTCACCGGGTAAGCAATAATTTTATTTTGTACTCCCTGTCCAGCGGCAAACTCAAATATGCCATTAACGCTTCATTTATGGAGTGCCTCAGTGCCGTGAATATAATTTTATTCGAACCGCCAAACAACTTCTACCAATGTAAACCGTTTCCATATTAGCCACTGCACCGCATCTGTCCGCTAACGGATTGTTCTCGCTTAAAATTAATCTTCCGTGGAAAATGCAAAGCATATTGTTCGCGGCGTTGCTTTGTGTGCTTGCGAGTTGTTGGTTAACAAATGTTTCACACGTGGCCGGAACTTTGTCAAAGAAGAATAAGAAAGACAAGAAGAATTCTGACCAGAGTAGATCGGTGAGACCCAAATGTTTTTTTTTTTTTGTTTAAGTAATTATCTGGGGATTCTGAGGTAGATCGTGGAGGCTCTAGATAAACTGGAAGAATCCGCTTAGCATTAAGCTTAGTTCAAGTTAGCTCTCCAAAATAGCAAAAATTAACAATAATTTAAAACTAGCTTTGCAAGGAATTTCCCCGGCTGAGTCGAAAAGTCACATCAAATTTAAAAGCTGAAATTTATATTTCGTGTATACATTAGTGGCTGACGCTAGCAAGAAATGTTTTATTTATTATTTTTATTACGGTGCGGATCAGTTTTAAAATAATGTATGTATTTTTAAGAATAAACCCTTTACAGACCAGGAACTTGATACTGATGCAATGAAGTTAAGCTCAAGTTTATATTGTATTGTTTCGCTCATGTGCTCTGTTATATAGAAATGCGTTCTTTTTAATCTGATATCAAAAAAGAAAAAAACGTGTTAAGCCCAACTGTCCTCAAAACAAAACCAAAACAAGTCTGTTAATGAATGCAGAGTAAGTGTTCAAATATAAACTGACAAATTGAAACAGAACAGGTGCTCTGCTTAAATGCATTTATTCATTTTTCAAGCTGAAAAATTAATTATCCTGACCTTGGATACTGCATTCATTTACTCAACTTTAAGGCTTCTTGGATGTTAGTCAGATTGAATTTAGAAGCTGATTTTTTTATATTTTGTGCATACATTAGTGGCTGATGTTAGCAAGAAGTGTTTTATGTATTATTTTTATTACTGTCCAGATCAGTTTCAAAATAGTTCTGAGATCAAGATGTGAAGGAGAGGAAATAATGAGAGCCACAAACATTTTTTTAAAAATATAATTTGTATTACACTCAGTTGCAAGCATAACACAGCATAAATATAAGAGTTTGTAATAACTGGAATGTGACGATTGTTTATAACAGAACTTCGAAGATAATTTATATGGAAAAGAAATTCACAATGACTTACTCTGACCCTTCTGTGTGCTAAATGTGAACCACAGTATTTTGGAGCTGTTTCATCGTGATATCAAGGGATTTTTAGTTCTTACTGTATTCTCATTTTGATTTTCCTTCCCATGTTTCTCAGTGTTATAAACGATCATTATGTTCCCATACAAACTCCTATATTTACGCTTTGGTACACTGAACTGAGTTTAAAGTATTTATCCCAAGGAGCTTAGGAGACCTGGATTATCTTCAGAAGTGTTCAGAAGTTTAACTGAACAGTATTTAGTGATCCCTGATGTCAGTCGTTGACAATAGCAGATCCTTAATGAATGGAAGGGATATGATTGATGTTACCTTTTTTCAGAGAGTTCTTAATCAATATGTGCATGTACAATCCCATTCATCAGAATTAACAAAAAAGTGTTCATTTTATTTTAATTATTGTGTGTCTATTTTAATTATTGTGTACTAATAGCGATAAGACTCTCCCTGTTGTCCAGAATGGATCAATGCCAGTGCTACATGTATACTCTTTGTAGTAAGCTATTAATAACAAATCTGTCTAAAAATCAATCCTTTTCAGTCACGACCACCAAACACAAATGTCACTGCACGAGGGTTGGTGGTGGAAAATCCAAGAACAAGGGATATCATCAAGTACCACAGTTCATATTACAAAAACCTGACAGAAGTCAACTTTGATGGGGAGATCCTGGTATATGTGACTCCAGTAAGTGTTTGAAACAAGTATAATCTAATTTCTCTCTTATGCTTGGAATCAAAACTTGGACAAGGTTTTACTACCAGGCCTGATGGAGAACATTCTTAAGTAAAATAGTCACTATCGTCAGTAGAAATTACACAGTTGGTGACATCCCGCTGGGCTAGATTGGGTCGTAAACTGTGATATTTACAGTCACTGTTGACTTGTCAGTTGAATGTATTTCTTTCTTTCATTAGAAATTCAGTTTGAAACCTCATAAAATCTGTGATTTCTGGCATAGGGACACTCACAACTGTCAAAATGTAATATCTGGAAGAATTTTCCATAAAGTAAGGCAGTCCGTTTTATGCCAGTTAGCTAAGTTCTCAAAGGGTGCGTTTAGAGCGTGAAATGACAAAATGAAACTACAGATATTAGGAGTGATGTGGGATATGGGTGTCTATAAGGATTAATTAATAATTGGTAGGTAACCATTGTTGAGACAATATTTAGGCTACCTGAGCACTATTGAGGCCAACCAGAGTGCAATTTAGGCTAACTGGAGCCCTATTTAGGCAAATGTAATACACATGTATGCAAAAATTTCAGCATGCGGCGAATGCTGATCATTGCCTGAGAGCACGTCAATAAATCCCAAACAGTGCAGAAAGTTGTCATTGAGTGCAAAAAAGTTAATATTGCCTGAGTGTACTACCTAATTAATTACCTGACGTGTACTAACCATAGTGCCATTTTGTCACTTCGTTATTTCATTAATTTTATGTCTTTGGCACATTAAGTCAAGCATAAAGGAACTCAATTTTACTGTTTAGCTTTAAGGAATATCTTTTCACTAAATAAATTATTGATCATCACTTAGTCTTGTAATTCCTTCTTTTTTTTATTTCAGTGGAACTCTCATGGTTATGATGTAGCAAAAATATTTAGTTCAAAGTTTACTTATGTCTCTCCAGTGTGGCTCCAAGTCAAAAGAAGGTAAACCCTGGATTTGAGCTGTGAAAAATTAATTGAAAAAATAGGAAAAACAAAAATTCAATTTTAAGGAAAAAAAATACTTATTATTAACTAGTGAGAACAGTCCAGAGGTTCCTAACCATGAAAACCTGGGTGCCCAGCACTTATTCCTATATGAAAAAAGCATAATAAGTTTTTCTAGTCACCCAAAGGCAGAAATTAGTCGCCTGTGGCACTTGGATGCTTCTAGGGCAGAGCCCTGTTCACCTAAAATTAATATCATAGACTTCTTCAGGGAGTTTTACAAAAATTTACCAAATGCTTGTTAATTTGAGCCATACATGTCTGAACTAGAGGCTGTTCATTTCTGTCAGGGACACAAACCAACAAGGTTTGGCTATGTTTTCAAAAGACAACAAGTGAAGCTGTGAAACAATGAAACTCTAATACAATGAAGTTAGGTGTGAGTTTCCTTGTTCAGAGAAACATTCATATTTTGAACAAATTTCATTTTACTTGACTGTTTGTGTGTACATATTATTTATTGAACAATTATGTAATTTATGACAAACATGTACACTATCTTCTTGCCATTATTGATTACTACTTATTTTTACCTCCTTCAAATTCCAATGTTCAGCTTCCTCAAAATTATTAGCAAACCAGTTTACAATCATGTAAGTCACAATATTGTTAACAGGAGAATTACAATGCATACAATCATGTAGATCTATATCAGACAGAACTGTTGCAATAATTTAGAAAAGTTTGTGATTTATCATTTGTGCCAAGCACTTTATAGAATACAATATATTATACAATACTTATAGCTTTTGAAATATTAAGGACTTCTGATGGGTTATTTCATCCTTAATTTTGCATGATTGTGCAATCTTGTATCTCATTTCATAAATTTTGCTAAACAGGAGAACAGGCACCTTTGCAATAGAAGGCACGCATGACATTGATCAAGGTACTGGTTTTCTAACCAAAATGACAATATATATTGCATTTCTCACACATGCATGCATGTAATAACAGTTTGGCATCAATAATATAGGTATATCTGATGAGTACTATGCATGTACATACTCAGGGAGGTGTGGTGGCCTCATGGTTAATGCACTCACCTCCATATTGAGGGGTATGGGTTGGAACCTTGACTGGGGACTTTGTGTTGTATCCTTGGACAAGACACTTTCCTCTCACAGTGCCTCTCTCCACCCAGTTCTATAAATGGGTATCAGTGGATTTAATGCTTGGGGTAACCCTGTGATGGACTAGCATCCCATCCAGGTGGGGAGTTGAAATACTCCTAGTCTCTTCATGCTACAGAAACCAGAGATAAGCGCCGGCCTGATGGGCTACTTGGCTGGTATTCAGACTACAGTGCAATTACCCAAGAGAAGCTAACTTGCTGTTTGTCTCTGAGTGTCTTGCCCAAGTACACAACACAATCTCTGGCTAGGGCTCAACCCCAAATCACCTAGTCCATTACTCCAAAGACCAATGCGCTAACCATTTTAAAAGGCAAAGGGCCACACACTCCCCATCTGTCTGCTAGCTTTTGGAAATTTTTAGGCCTGCCATTCTTCCCTTTGCAGAGTATTCACAGGTACAGTGAGGTTTTCTTTTTTTTCCTGTGGCCCTTTATGCATTAAAGGCATGATTAAATTAATGATATTAAAAGTAATGCATTTAAAAATCTCTTAGGGTGGATGTCGGATGTTCGAAAAGGTGGCCAACATGTGAAAATAGGTGAGATGTGATGAAACTACAGTAACTGTTACATGATTTTAATTCAGGTGCACTTTATCTCTGGGTGACTTGCTTGACTTAAACCCTTTCACCCCTTGGGGAGGCATAGGTCCTTAAGGAAGTCTCTCCATCACTCTCTGTCTCGGGACCGTCTCTCCAACTGTTGCAAGTTGAAGCCTGCCCCCCTCATCTCCCCCTCCATTGACTGTCGCCAGCTGTTCCTTGGCCTCCATCACTTCTGCTTCCCCTGTGGGTTCTATCTCAAGGCCTGCTTGGTGGCATTGGTTTTATCTCTGGGTAATGGGTTATAAACTCTGCCGTATACCACATGTGTATCGAAGATGATACTGTATTATCAATTTGTTTTCAGTTCCCAGAATACTGTTTGACCAATGGACATTGAATGACTATCACATCATTTTCTCCAGTGACACTGCCTTGCAGTCTCTTGTCGACACAATTGTCTCTTTCCTGAAGGTCAGTTCCTGCAATGTTTGCTTAATAAGTTGTCCATAATGGCATAATTTATAGCACCTAATTTATGATATCTATTTTTTTCCCTACCAGTTCATGCTTGTAACTCGTTTCAATTTTTTAAACTCTTTTTATATAACTATTTCAACTACTAGACGTTAGTTTTTTTTTAACTCTATTTTTATAACTATTTTATACTATTAGACGTTTTATATTTTTAGAAATTGTATTTAGCAGGCCCCCTCTGGATACCAGCCACTGTGCTGAATGGGCCACCCTGCATAAATAAAGTTTTACCTACCTACCTACCATGTAGTCTAGTATTTTAAACAAAGAAAAGGTTTTGCTGGAGACGAGTGTTTCTACAGGTTTTCCAGTTGTTGCAAACTTTCTTAGTCAAGTGACTTCTAAAACTCGAGAGAAACACGGACGATTGTTTTTTTTTCTCTAAGCAAACACAATAATATAATTTTTTGATAATCAACTTTGAAATTCTCTTTGCTCGCATCATGATTACGTCAATATTTCGTGCAGATTCTGTGTTTCTATCGATTTAATATCATGGCTGCAAAAACGCCGGTAATTTAAAAGAAAAAATGTCTGCATCGGCTGCTCCACCTATATTAATTGGTGATTCAGAGAAGACATACTTGCGTGGTCAATGCCATTGAGTGTAGATTTTTTTTCTTTTAGGCAAATAGTTTTGATGGCCTTACTCTTGAAGTATGGAGTCAATATAATGGAGATACCAAAGAGTAAGAACTACAATTATACATTGATAAGTTCATAAAGATGGTGAATTTTAAGCTCGGTAATAAAATGTGAAGGTGAATTAATCAACATGACACGAGCATGGGACAAAGAAAAAATATAAGTCCCCGACAGGAATCGAACCCATGACCTCCCGAATACCGGGCGGGCGCTCTATCCACTGAGCTACGAGAACTCATGGAGAGCAAAGACATTTAACTGAGTTCATATATGACAGGTGTCCTGCATACTGCTAGGATCAACGCTATCGAAGTCATCGTGAGTAGTGATAAGTTCATGAAGATGGTGAATTTTAAGCTCGGGAACATTTGCGTCTTCTAAATGAATATCCTACCGGGAAATCGAACATCCGAGGGGAAGGGATAGAGGCTCATCGTTTTGAAACATCCCTGGGGACGACTTTGTTGTGATAGACAAATCCTCATGTTTAAACCTCTGAGGGCAAGATACTTCGACTCTTGTACAAGTGTTCTTGTTTCTCAGACTTGGGCGTCATAAAAGAATATGTAGGGTCTAGCCAAAACTGGACTTTTTGGGCGCGTTTTTGGGCATTAAAGACATCGTCTCTCCCATTTGCTTTTGTAGAGAATGTTTGCTTGCCACAGGAATTCAGAGTTGGAGAATATTGTTTTATGTGATTATTTTCAGTCACAAGTAACTTGGATCAGAGTATTAATAAAATATATGGGAAGAAAACATTTCAATAAAAAAGTCCTACACATTGTTAATATCTTGCTATTTATCTTTCAGGGACTTGTATCTTCTGGTCAGTAAGATGGCTGATTCTCTCCATAAAGAAAAACTCAAGATTATTCTAGTGATTCCTCCACCGTTTTATGCTGGGTGAGCGTTATCAATGCGCACGTGCAGCTGCCAGTTAGTAATGCAAAATCCATAACACTATTTCAGACTAAGATTACTCATAGCCTTTAGGCTGGCTCTTACCTATGAAAGTTTCATGTATGTAGGAAAGTGCAATCTCTCAGCCTCTAGGAAGTTAAGGATGTCGATAGGATTCTATTGAGCGATCGTCTGCGTTTCAACAACGGCGTCTCTTCTATGATCCTGCGAAGAAAAGTAATAGGCGCTGTAAACAGGGTACAGTATACTTCTGATAAATGAAAACAAAAACAAGAAAAGAAAAAAAAAAAAAAAAAAAAAAAGAAGTTGGTAGCTTTTGTCTAGGAATCATCAGGTGGGAGAGAAGCTAGCATTTATAACACCCGAAAAATTTAAGAGAAAAAACGTAGGGTGCTGGTAGCCCATTCTGATCATTCGCGACGTCACGTTTTTCATTTTTACTTTGTGGTTATCTTGTTTTGTTTTGTTTTTCTTTGATAGTAAAAAGCCAGGAGCTTTCGACAAGCACGACTTTGAGCTTTTGGCGCCAGTATTGGATGGCTTTAGTCTCATGACTTATGACTATTCGTCTCATGGAAGGTATAACACCTACAAGTCTTTTTTAAAATACATTTTAGTATTAGGATCAATGCAGTAAACTTAAGAACACGTTATTGGGTGAATTTGCAAAGAATTCGCGAGGATATCGTACGAGATCCGCATCTATTTCTCCAAGCGCGTCATTAATTAGCGAGAAAAATTAAGAGGTATAAGCAAATACTCTCTCGTGTTATAGGCAATGTTATTTTAAATGTTATTTTAAATGTTATTTGGGAAGTGTTATTTTACAATCCTCTGTGGGAAAAAAGATGGCGACTGGTACATTTACCCAAAATTCTTAGCACACGAAATCTTTAACAACGCTCATAAAAACGTACAGAAAAGTTACAACATCTTCAAACCTTGCATACAGTATGTTGTTAGCGCCGGGAAAATATTGCAAAATTATCTCTTTCCTTGTACTTTATGGACTGCGTAAAGTTCGCATGGCATTTTGGTAAAATTTACAGCTGCCATTTATTTCCCTACGAAGGACTGAATAATGTTTTTGTTGTTTATATTGTTTTTGTTGTTGTTGTTTTAAGCTACACAGCCGAATAGTGCAATGTAATGCGCTCTCATACTTGGCGTTTTTTTTTGTGATCTTATTAAAATCAAGTTACGTAATCGTGGACAATAATGGGCTTGTCTACTAAGGGTTCAAGACATTCCGATACAAGTGTAGGAAGCTAACCTGTTAATACCGACCATTTTTGAAAACAGTAAATCTTGGGAATTTTAATGTAACCACTGAAGAACAAGAACTCCTGCACGAACATACATTTACGTACACTAAATCATTTTGTTTAATTTAGACCAGGGCCCAACGCGCCTCTACAATGGGTAAAAGACTGCATTTTAACACTAAGTCCAGAAAAGGGAAAGCAGCGCTCGAAAATTCTTATGGGCCTCAACTTCTACGGCCAGGACTTCGCAGCAATGGGAGGAGGACGTACGTGAGAATTTTAAAAATATTATATTGTATTAGAGCTCACTGTGTAATGGTTTTCAGTTGTGTATCAAAAAATCAAATGTAAAGTAATTACACTAGCCAATCACAAGAACACTGACAATCCAGTGAACCAATCAAAACTCGAAGCACATTCATGCAGCCGGGCCAAAGCGCTGGAAAAAGTGTACGAGCAGGTCATGATTTGTTTTGGCTTTTTAAGCAAGCGGGCACTTGTTTGGGTTTTTCTTTGGCTCTTTTCGTTTTCTCTTTCTTTTTGTTAGTTTGTTGTTTTTTCTTGTTCTTTTAAACCAATTGTTAAGGATAGAATTGCAAAATCAAAAGAAGTGCGTTAAAACCGCTCTTACTATAGCTAGTAACTGTAGGCTGCGTTGCGTGTTTACATTTATTTATAGTTAGCCGCTACAATTCACGATTTTGTTCTTTGTCTGCTTATGTGTGTGTTTTGTTTGTTTGTTTGTTTTTAAGTTAGTCAAGCTGGGATTTATTCTCCTTCTGTTCTATGTAACTCAGTCTTCTCAGTTTCAATAGAAGCCAGTTACTTTGCGTGTATTCAGTGTGACATGACAGATTCAGCTCTCTTCCATAGCTTATTTTGTTTTATTTTTCATTTTACTCATGCCAATGACAAATTTGGAAACACAGCCATCTTAGGAACAAAGTAAGTCATTTCTACTTGGGGGCTACAGTCTTACTACGAATATTCATTTAAAACGGTCTCGCGGGATAACTCTCTGTTTGGACAGGAACGTCCAGGAAACGTCCAGGACGTGTAAGAATGAAAGTCCCTGTGTGACCAACGGAGCAGCTCAAGAATATTATGGTGAACATATTGCTTCATTCGCAATCTGCGCCCACCATAAGGACCCCAGGAGTGACCGAGAACTAATTTCTCCTTAACCATTCTTTATTGTTCAATTCTTTATTGTTTATTTANTTATAAGTCATCCAGCAATATGCACGTGTACCTAGGTGATGAGAATCGAGTAAATCATCAAGAAGGGGGTATTGCCTTGATCTCCCACCAAATTCTCGCAAGTGACATTTAAAGAAATGTACGTTGTCAGAAAGGAGGATAAAGATTTTGATTTTGGGAATAAATTAGTTTATTGGTCGCTTTTCTTGTTAGATATATTGAAATGTTGACGAAACACAAAACAGAAAAACTGGTCTGGGAGGAAGGCGTGGCAGAACATTCGTTCAAATTTACGTAAGTAAAACCAACTATTGCTCGATCAATATATATGTATATATATATATTTTTAATTTTTTAAACGTCTTCCAGTCGGCTTTCTTATGGAAAAACATTGGTTATGTTTTAGTGATGCATCGAAGTAACATTAATGTCTCCGAAGATTGTCCAAGCTGTTGACTTGTCATAAGAGAAATCGGTAATTAACGACAATTCTAAAATGTATTTTACATTTTTAGAAACTGTTTGAAAGACATTCCTTTTCCTACACACTTTTTCTCCAGAAACTCCTTGAACACCTTCTAAACATGACATTAAACTTTATTTAAACTAAATCCAAGCCTGATTAACCGAAACGTCGGTATAAATGCCAAGCTTTTATTTCTTCACATCCTAAATTAAGCTTCTTGCACTCTCTCTGCGTAGTGATAATTGATAAATCAACTCATATCAGGTTTTCTGTCTTTCACCCCCCTTTTTTCTGTTCACTCAATAGCTCCGCGGGAACTCATCATACTGTGTTCTACCCAACGTTGAAGGTAAATTAGAGAACTTGTTACTGTCAAAGTGGGCAAGTCTTGCTTTTTCGTGTTCTAAAATACGTTTTGTTTTAATTGGGAAGGTTATTGTGAGAAGCACTGTTTTCTGATGGGTAGTGCGCTGGACTAGCTCTGGATCGAACATTTCAGGTTCAAGCCTTGGCCAGGTCACTGTCTCGTGTTCTTGGGCAAGGCACTTTACTCTCACAGTGCCTCTCTTCACCCGTGGCTGGAGTATAGGAAAATCTTTGTTTACAATATTTGCCTCGTGAGCGATACACTTTCTGATGGAACTACAAAAACATGAGTTCTGAATATTGAATGCAAAGCATTATTAACTCTTCCGAGGAATTTGAGCCCGATGTATTGCATACTCCTTGTGCGAGGCGGATTTAAAAACTCAAACTTTTACAAAGAATGTATGAGTTCATAAGCGCTTTTGCCACCCAGAAATTGTGTAGTTTTTAAAAGCCAACCAGTCCACCAATTACTCATTTTCACAAGCTCTTTCGACGTTTGTAGTCAGTTCGTGTCTAGCGTGATGCCTTCTCTGCGCAAAGTCGTATGTTAATGAGGAAATGCAAGCAGTGACGTCGGTAAAGATTCTCCTCTAAATGGGTTTGGTGCGGAGGAATTTTCCAATGGAATTTTCCTCCCATTAAAGGAACTACTTCTTGGATTTTCTTTCTTTTTTGCGTCTTTTCTTTTTGTCTTGTTCTACATTGTGTTTAATGGCATTTGTTTCGTTCTCTCAGTCCATACAGGTGCGGCTGGATCTCGCTAAGGAACTGGAAGTGGGGATCTCCATCTGGGAGATCGGACAAGGACTCGATTACTTTTACGACTTACTCTGAATGCAGGACTCATTTTATTAGATTTTTAAACAGTCATGGATGTAAAGACGTAAAACGTTCCTAAATAATTTATTCAACTATGGAACTTTTCGTAGTGAATTTAAATGCACACCCTTCCGAATTTCAATACACAAATAAAAGCAAACCCGTCGTCAGGTTTGAGTGTATGCCGAGTCTCTGCCTTCACCTTTCACCCTGGCACCTATGCTTGGCATGTTTCCACCCCTTCCCCCGTCCTTCTCTTGTTCGTCTTTGATTCTACGGACCATAATAAAGTCGAAACTCCTCTTAATTCCCATTCGCCATTTCCACACCCCCCACAATACACCTTGTTTGCCCCCAAAAATTTTGTATAAGCATTGTGTTCAGTTTCTCTTGGGACGACTGTAATACCCAGGAGAAATGGGAAACAAAGGTTGAGCAGAATTTTGGGGGTTAACAGGGTGTATTATGGGGGATGTGGAAATGGTGAATAAACGGATGCCTCTCCCAAATGTGACATTCTTTTTTTCTTCTTCTTTCTGCTCCAGAGTAAATGGTTACTTGGCCTATTTGAATTGGGTCAGTCAATTGTGGCTGGCTCAGCGATGCTTTAAAGCGTCTATAACCGTTCGCTTATATCACTTACATCGGCAGCTACTACGGATTTCCCTTAAGGGTGTGCTACCCCTTACTGCCAAAGCTTCATTGTTTGACATGTTCCAAAATGTTACTACCATAGAAATACGTAAATACATACGTGTTGACACTGGTGAGATAACACGTCATGCAATATATAGCCAGATGGTCTTGAATGTTCAAGCCAATTTTCAAGCCAGTGAGTTAGTGAAAGCAATTTTTCGTAAGGGGGAAAGGCGCAATGAGCTTAACCCTTTGTGAAGTCCCAACCCGGGAGACAAGGCCAGACACAACACCGGGAACTCCGTGCCCTACTCTTTGCGACAAGTGTGTGGGTTCTTTTGGATGAAGCAGACGGGGTCTACGGTTCATAATTCTTATCCCAAAAGACTTGAACGTCAAACCATTTTCGGATAAAATTACAAAGGTACCACATTCTCCAGTCATTTTAAGACCCTGAGTGTTGGTCCAGTCGGAGGTTCAAACTCTCGACTTCCCGCACAGCAGTCTGGCGCTCCACCAACTGAGCTTACAGCGGTGGTGGTGTGAGATGGTAAATTTCTCATATATCACCAAGTTACTCTGGTAAACAATGTTATGATGCATCGAGTGAAAATGGGTCTTTAAGGCCAATGGAAAAAGATATCATTACACTAGGATTGGTTTTAATGATTTTCATTAAGCTTCTTCGATGGTCTTTACACATGTCGTCTTCGAACAATACACAATCACGACGATTGCACTATTTTAAAATTTAAAATCTAAAATTTTTCTTTCGTTTCTCTAATAAACAATATTCTTTTCAACAATCGTCATAAATAGCAGATACTTAAACTTCTTTCAAAAGATTAAGCCTTTCTCCCAGACTCCTGCCTTTTTTAGCCCCAGCCTTCGCTCTGTGGATAGTTTGTTGTTGTTGTTATTGTTGTTTATGTTTATATGTAGGGGAAATTCAATTGTGATTGAGATTTTCCTCAGAAAACTCGTCGAATTTCGTGGCAAGCAAAAATCGCCATTATACAAAACTGAGTTCCTACAAGAATCTTGTATCATACGATAATTCAATGGGCCCAAAAAGGAGTTTTGAAAGCCATTTCGACACCAGCGTTGATTGACTTGCATCGATCAACGAACCAGTTACAGAATTTTGTTCTGACAAATAAAAAATACCTTTGAAAGAAGTTTAAAAATTGAAACTTGTTATATATAACAAACAAAGAACGTAATGATATTATTTAGAACAATGTTCTATACGAACATGAATTAAAACCTGATATATAATGCGTTATGGAAAAATATATTCTCTCTTGGTAAACTTTGTACATTCTTGGTCCAGTTCCCTAGCGGGCTAGCCGCCATATTACGCGGCATGCCTAGCATGACGCAGTGTTTGGGCTGTACGTTAATTAAATAATAACAAAGAGCTACGTACGTTTTATACAACTGAGATATCAGTGAGGGAGTAGCACTGAAGTGTAAATTGCTCAGCCAATAGGCCCAAAATTTATTTATAAATCAAACCAATTTAACTTCTGATAAATAAAAACCGACAAAATGGAAATTAAACTAAAAGAACAAGCACTCTAAATAGAATAAACAGCACTGAAACGGGAACGTTTTGAGTTCCACCTACTACGGTTTTGGCTGTTAGAAAAAGCTCGAACACCGTGATTCCTTCGGTGCTTGCTTTTATAACTGGCCCAAAAGAACTGTTTCTAAAATCTAAAGGTTATTTCGAAAATTTACTTTTTATCATTCAATTTATGATTGCTTTTCTTTTATATCGTCGTTTGAATCCAGAAAAAAGTAGCTGAAGAAGAAATGTCTATAGTCAATGTCAATTTACACTTCCTTGCCACTCAGTCTGACTTAGCTGTACATGCATGAAAGTTGAGTTTGGATTTAGGAAGCAAGCAGAAACAGACAAAAGCGAGTCTCTAAAGCTACGATTCTAGATTCTAGGGTTCTAATTTCTACGCGCATAAAAGCTTTCCTGTAATTGGCTTCCGACCTAACCCATGCCGTAACGTGCTTTCTTGAGCCAATCAAAAGAGAACTTTTAATGAAGGTTTGTTTAGTAAAGAACTTGTGTTTTGTACACAGAAAGCATACTTGTGCTTGCTCTACTAACCATTTATAAGCAATGTTAAGTATTTAAAATGAGTGTTTAAAATGCTATTTGAACAGAGATCAATTAAAACTACAATTTAGTTATTCAGTTATTATGCTTTCTTTGTTTAAGTTGTGCTTAATTTATTTGCTAGAGTGAAGCAAATCATGTGCTGGTTCCTGATTATCGATTCAATTAGTATGCTTGAATACGGAAAGATCCATTATGGGGTAATTGGCCTTGCTCGATATCATTGCATAACACCCTCCCTTAATGCTTTGCGGCCTTTTCGTGTTGAATACTTTAGAACAACCAGGTGCGGTTGACGATATCTTTCAAAGTCGGCTTATTTCGGTAAGGAAAAGCTGGTTAGTCAATTTAGCTGCAATAAGCCATGCTGCCTATCGAATTTCACTCCATTAAATATTTATAATTGACCAGTGTTAATCAATTAATTAATTAAACAAACATATAAATAAATAAATTGACGGGAAAAGGCCTAAAAGTCAGAGCAACCTTTATATAGGATATTATAGGATAGCCACCAAGATGGTTTCAGGCGAGTATGTGGGAAGGGATAACATTTGCAAGAAGACAATTTTCAGGAATATTTGGCTATAAGAGCACAGTTGTCAAAATCAAATAAGAGGTAGGTATTTCACGATATTCATGGTGAAATATTTTCCACGATTGTTCTTTGCAGAATTAAACGGTTGTAACGTGAAAACCATTATGGTGACTATCGTAGATACGGCAACTTGCACTTGTAACGTTGCTATAATTATCACATGCTTGAAGCGTTAAACGCAGTGGCAACATGCTCGGTTAAAAGTTAAAATCTGTTAATTTAGAAAATTACATAGCATCTCTTATTATATGGCTTGTATTTGTAGCCGATACAACGTGCGCGCTGATTGGCTAATTTTAGGGCATTACTCTCCCGTAAAGCCCACGGGCCGATGACGGGCCTGAAAAAAAAAAATAAAACAGCAACAAAACAAACCAAAAGGCCATATAATAAACAGCTCATTAAACTCGAACGTTCTGTCTTTACGGGGAAATCTCAAAGCCAGCAACGGCCTCACCGTATTGACCGAGCGATAGCGAGGTCAATATGGTAAGATCTCAGTTTGAGATTTTCCTGTAAAGACCTCACCCTCAGTTAATAAGTAGTTAGTAATTGTGGTGCTATTTAGTGGTGATTTTCTATGCGATTTGTTTCAACACTAAACGCACGAAAATATGACAAAGAAAATCAAATTATATCTTTGGGTCCTTTTAACGTGCAGGTAAACATAACGGGTAATGTTGGCAGGTTCTTTAAAGTTCTCAACTGCCAAAGCGAAAAATTGCTTCCGTGAAGAGTTCTGTTCGATTAGTCCTAATTCATGTAAATATCTAATTAAAACTGTGGTTAGAATTTTTACTAAACTATACATTACTTACTGCCATACGAAGGTGACTGGAATGCGAATAAATATCTTTTAATCCGTGGTTAAATAATGGCACATACCATATATTGTGTATAATAACGGCTAAGAGCATTCCTTCATAATGCAATTCTCTTTCCGTCATAAATGATGAACAATGAACTTTGTATCCATAATATGACGTGGTGTAACATCTTGCTGGTACGATTGAAGGATAAAAATAACTGAATACATACGTAAATGAGGGATGCGCATTTTGCCCAAAATGCTTGTCGGGGCGCCCAACTCCGTGAAAACAGAGTTGTTTTTCAACTTCCTCAAAGGCGTTTCCTGCATTACAAATTTCGTTGCCCTTTAGTTCATCCATGCGTTATTGTATCAAGGGATGTTATGCCCGACGGTCTTAGGGGCAGGAATGTGGCAGGTCCCATTATCTTCATTATTGGTTGAGTAAACTCGGTCGCCATTGGCCGAGAGAATTGCATGGCTTGAATACCATTGGTCAGTGGATTCGCCATGGTTAGGGAATGATTACGCGGCGTGGCCGTGGTAATTGGTGCAAAAACCGATGTGCACACAGTGGTTGAGTTGGCGGAATTGTTCTGAAGGTCCGGTCTTGGTGTGTTGGTGATCTGGAAGGCAATCTGCTGTGGAAACGAATCTTGTTTGTTGATCCCATTGTTTTGAGTCATTCCGTTGGAATTGTTTGAATCTGGTAAACAGACCATTGGGTACGGTGGAGACCAGTGGACATTTTCAGGGTGGCCATTGATCCCATTCTGTCCAAGTGTACGATCCTGGTCCATACCCGGGTGAGCCATTCCTCCATTGCTGTGCCCATTCAAGCCATTCATAGAATGCATACCGTTAATGGCGCTCATTCCATTGACGTTGTGACAGCTGATATTGCTCAGTGTGTTAATACCATTTATGGTGCTGATACCTGCTATTCCGTTTATGCCATTGATGGTGTTGTTGCCATTCATGAGGCCCATTCCATTTCCTAACCCATTGCCCATCCCATTCATTCCACCGACAGCGTTCACCTGCGCTATGCCGTTCAGCCCATTCACTGTTCCCACGCCACCTAACCCGTTGACTCCGTTCAAACCACCCATGCCGTTTACGTTTACATTCAAGCCGTTCAGGTCGCCAGCAATTGCATTCAAGCCATTTAGACTGCTTGCGATGGCAAATCCGCTCGGAATCACAGGATTGTATTTGATCCACGTGGGGGACACTCGCGTGTACACGGGCTAGTTGAAAAAGGGAATAATGGAATAAGTGCAAACTATCCTGCAAAGATATCATAGCAAAACGCTTTTAAAGTGTTTGCAGGCTACAAAACAGTGTGACTTATAAGTGAGTGATATTTTTCGTACATGATTGAGACATATTTTCGGTTGCTAGCTCTTCCAAAAAGAAACAAAAATCAAAAAGTGAACAAACAAACCAAAAAACAACAACCAAAACAAAACAAAATAACGTAGTAATTATCTACCATACATAGATCTTATTAGGAGAAAGATGTCACTTTGAAGAAGTCTTCCAATAAGTATACGTCAGTCGTGTGAATGCGAGTGCACTTGATTTGCAATTTTGAGGTATCATGAGTTGTCTAAATCCTCTATTGCTCGAGCTTACAGTCGATTGTTTATTCATTTTGTGACTAGGAAAATTTCAAACGAGTGCAAATTAAAAATTGACGAAACATCGGCCTGCTCTCAGCCAATCACAATGGAGTGATTTTCTTAGTCAAATAATAAAGACTCGTATTATTAAACTGCTGAGACAGTAACTTCATTTTTATTGGCTGTGAGCAGGCAAAGTTGCATTACAATTTGGAGAACTCTTTTAATCTTACCATTTCATTCTTGTGGCCGTTTTCAATGTATCCAAGTTTTCTCTTCTTGGCGTCTGGACCTTCGTTACCATTCACGTCTGTTGTGGCATCATGATTTTCGTGCTTGATTTCTTCACCTTTCTGTTCTCCGTTCACTGGTGCTTCATCGTGCTTTCGTTTTCGTTCTTCTCCCAGCGATCCATTCTCGCCTTCTGTGTGACCATTCTCTTTACCCTCTGTTTCAGGTTTTCCATTGTGATCTATCCCTGTTGAAAAGGAAAAAATAATGAAGGATTTGAACTCTCTTTCTAACATTCTGTCAAGCCTCAGTATGTTGTCTGTATAATTCATGGATTTATGTTTTTTTAAGTAGATAGATGTGTAGATAGAAACTATATTAATGTGTCAATGCCTTGTAGCCTGGAAAAATAACATTCTAATTTGGAGACATATGATACATAGAGGCAAAAAAGAACAATTTCATAAAAATATTAACGGTAAAATTATTTGATCCAATCTAATAACCAATAATAGCTGATCTGATAATCTGATGATTCAGTGATAACCGCTAAAATTGACATATAATAATATCAATATTATAGACAATGATGGAAATTACATTTAATCATGATGAACAGAGCGAACAGCCCTTACAACCATCATCAATCAGTGAAACTATATAGCACTTACGAACAAGTGGACGTGCTAGAATTACAGTTCATTAGTCAATTTTAACAATAATAACAGACAGGACAACGATGAGAAGATTACAACAATGAGTTGTCAGTAACTGCATATTTACGAACAGTTTTATTCTAAATTAATATATCGCATATCCTAGGTCTACACTCTCACCGTTTTGTGGCGTACCACGGTGTTCACTGTCGTTCTTTTCTACGCTCTGCACAACCTCCTGAGTATGCGTGGGTTTCTCGACCGGTGTTGGAGGCTGTGGTATAGGATGAGGAGTCGGCAGTTGCTGCTGGAGAGTCTGAAGAGTTGTGGGTAGAGCTGTTTGACCATTGGGTGGAATAGCGAAACCAATCTGAGCTTGGAAACCATTCATCTGAGGCGCGTTGGGGATCTGTTGTTGAAGATGGTGGACGTGTTGTTTGGCTTTTTCGTGGGCTACGCGCTGTTCTTTCTCAGACGCCGCATTGCGCAGAATCCTGTTTATTGAGCTGACGCTTGGCACGTTACTCTTGTCGCAGACTCCGTCACTAAGCAGGTTATTCCTGATTTCCCACGCGAAAATGCATGGGTTTTCCTCCTTGTAAGCCAGAATCTTCGACACCACCCGCGGAGTAGCGACTTTTGGTTTGCTGCCTCCTATAGCTCCAGGCCTGACCGAACCTGTCTCGTAATACCTGCCGAGAATTTTGCTCACACACCCGTGAGACACGAGCAGTTGCCGAGAGATCTCCGAGGGTCGGACTCCGCAGTGTGCCAACTCAACAATTCGGTGTCGCATGTAGTCGGGCAACGGTCGGCCATTGACAAATACACCTCCAAGTTGGTTGACTCCACCCGGTCCTTTATCAGGGAAAATGTTGTTAAAATAGCAATATTTATATTTTCTAATTAACTCGAGATTAAGTTTTACTGAGGCCATCCGTTTGAAAGGAAAGCGGTTTACTGATTTGGTTGACGGCTCCAGTACAATAATTGTCTGACCTATTTGTTTTCATTGTGTTCCATTGGAATGAACTGTATTCGAAGTTTTCGGGGAGTAGGTTTCTATTGCTGTTTAACTCTAAAGAAACCGCCAATTGAATATTTGCTCCACAGTTTCAACTGCGTTTTATGGTGATTGAAATTTTGATCACGCCACACAAAAGCGCCCGTTTTTGTAAGTAAAACACAGCCTATTCATTGAATGCACTCAACACAAAATCACTAAAGAACTTATGAAGATAATTGAGATTTTATTGTCAAGTTTTAGAAAACAAAGCATCAAAGCAAATTGGAAAAGACCTGTTGTGTTTCCTTTTGCTCTCTCAACTCTATTCCTGACCGGTTTACTTTACTACGAAAAAAAGCAAAATGTTTTCAAAACTAGGATCTATACATAAGTTAGGAATTTTTCCTCAGAGTTAGTCTCAAATTTTAACTGCCGTCGAGTCTGACAGCTTTCTTAAAAGACAAAGATTATAGTTTGCTTTGCTTAATGTAAGCAAAAGGGCAATCAACGCATTTGCCTGTATGTTTTATCCTTTTTATTTTCAGATAAAGTTCTAATTGAGCTGTCTATGCTTTGTCGATATTGAAATCTGTGGATTTATTTTACCTTTTAAAAACCTATTATTCCAAAGTTTGACAGCAAATAGCAGTGTTTAAATTTCCCAACGGTCTTTTTTTGTCCTCGTGGCTAATTTACATAATTTAGATCCAAACTCCGTGAGACACAAGGAGAATGTAATAAAGATCATGTAAAGGGTAACTAATAGCGAGGAAAATTAACACAACTCAAGTGGCTTTTCTTAAGATATATATATCAGTTCGTCTCATCCGATGTTTGCAAAGGAAATATCTCGTGTGTCTCTCTTTGGATAAACATCTAAACTGGGATTCGATTCTGAACCAAATGTCAGTTATTTACAAAGGAAGGGCTGACGCTAAATGGAATTCCTTCAGTAATTCTTCATGAAGATAATTTCATTTTGATATAGTTATAATTCCAACAGAAACATAACACAGTAACAAAATCTTATTTTACTCAAAACAAAAGCATGTGATTCTTATCTGACAGCCTAAGAGTGCAGGCTGAAAATTTAACTCGAAAAATACTTCATTTTATATCATAGTTATAATATTTTGTTGATGTAGATTCAACTGTGACGAGGAAAGGAGCAATATCTGGGTTCTAAATCTCGAAATGCGAATCCATACATTACCTGATATTTAGTCAATTAAATATTCCATTGTATTGCTCATATGACAAAACTCTTCTTCTTGTTATATAACAAGATATCTATCGAAATAAATTTTACGAAAACGTCCTTTTCGGAAATGGGCAGATTTGCTTTCCGTCAATTTTCAAAGAATATACTTATGTTCTTCGTTTAAATCCTAACTTCTTGTATAATCACGGTGGGCTTGCATGACAAGTTATGGAATGTGGTGAATTAATAAATTATTTGGCAAGCAGCTAAGGCAAGCGGCTTCAAAGAGAGAAAAAGTTTCTCACCGCATAGGAAACGTTAACTAATTATGGTGTAATTTAAATTAAGTTTAATCTCACCTCTATGGGGCATCATTGACTCACAACTCCAGCCAGTGACTCTGCCACTCAACTCGCGGATCGTTGTCTAAAACAATAGCAATCATTCCATCAAATAAAACATTTCACAGCCACTATATTCTTTTTTCAAGAATAAAATCAAGAGACGGCCTTAAATTTGCCGATTACCTGAGATAATTCATTGCGTCCCACTTCTCATTTTTGATGCGATTCTGGTTAAAATGCAATATCTATGTTACTCCGTTTTAGATGTTCTTGTTATTGATCTCTCATATTCCCGCCCTTGGTGAAGCCATCTAACAAGTTTGGCCACCTGTAGCCACAGACTTGAACCCGACTATTTACCTTTTGCCATATATGGTAGGCATCAGCAGGTTTGATTTGTGTGTTAGTAGCAACACCGCATGCCACATGCTGCTTGGGCGTCACAAAAATGTCGAGAATGTATTAAACGCGGCTTCAAGGAGAGAAATCGATACTTCAGGGCTAGAATTCCAGGACGACAGATTTGATAGATTTTGAATTAAATTTGCCTTCAAGGGTTAATGTTGTTTTAAAAATGAGGCAATCCCATATTTTAAACCATCTGATCAATTACATCCTTGGTTAAATCAAGATCTCACATCACTACCTCCAGCATTTGATAAAATTCTTCCATGTCACCGATTAACTGGGGCAAACGTACGAAAGAGGAAATATTAAAAATGAGAAAAAATTATGAAGTTGTGTTTTTTTTCTGTTAGTTTTGCATTTCTTTAACAAAAACGTAAAACAAAATATTATGTGTTTTGATTCGTTTCTCTCTTAGGAGGTAACGGTTAAAAACGAAATTCGAATTTCATGTCAATCTTCGGTCTTGTTAATCACGCATGCTTTGTTTTTTATCCTAATTGAGATGTGTCCGCAACGTTTGTCTCTAGCTATATATATAACAGATTACCCAGTTCACAAGCACCTTGTCAGGTGAGAAATTATTTGTAGTCAACTCTGCATGGTGTTCTGATCACATTATGAGGGCGTGCAACACAGCCATGACTATCTCGTATTTAACGTTTCATTTCGTTCACCAGCCAAAATTATCTAGTTAAAATTGCTTTAGCTTACCTTATTTTTGTCATTATCCACTAACTTTTTTAATTCGCTGTAGTCAAATTAACAGAATGCTGTTACTTGAATTTGATGCTTCGAGGGCTCTTTAATTGTACAAAAATCATTGTAAAAGTACAACACTGAAGTGCCAAATCTCTCTGTCGACACCTTGCTCTGAATGTTACTTCTCTTTACTTGTTGCCACACATGTCTTTTTTGTAAGTTTTTGAGAATTTGGTGTTAAATCGAAACAATATCTTTTCCCCTCCATGATGATCTCGCTTTCATTCTGCCTAATTATCTGGTTTGCAATTAATATTAACATATATATGTATGACGCTGCTTTGCGAACGAAGATTATGAAGGTGGCTCACATCGACTGCACGCACCCTTGTGGCTGGCAAGGTTACATGCATAAATTACATGTTAATAAATGGATATATAGAGGTAGTGCAGTTTTTTTTCCAACTTAATGCGAAAACATTTGATGCGAATTATCCTCAGTGTAACTTTTCCACTGCAAGTTTTTTATTCCGATGCAAAATTTACTTTAAACTGAAGATTTCCGCCTTCACGCAAGTTGTACATTCCACCGTGTTCCTTCGCTTGCAGTTTTTAAATTGACTGATTTACAGCAAGTTTTACAACTTAACTGTTTCAAAACGAGATCTTTTGACAACAAACTTTACATTTTTGAGTCTACTGCCGTGTGATCTTGTGATCTTGTGTTAGCCGGTTGATTGTGATCGCTAACGTTACGTTAATTAAATGCGATCTTAGCAAACGTTATTTTAAAACGTGTAATACATATAGCCAAATAAACTGGAGCTTTAATCATTGGCCTTTTAAAGATCATGTTAACAATTGCATCACTCAAAACGAGTAAAATCAGTAAAAGTTCGTCGCAATGGAGAAAGCAGTTTTCGCAGGAGGAGTTTCAACACCTTCCTTCCTTTACTTTTTACTGCTACTGTTTTAAGTAATAACTTTTCGCTGAAGTAATGACAAAATTGACCTTGTTTTAATTTCAGGGTATTTAGCACGGCTGCGCTTTTTGAGGACACAGTATTTAAACAAGAAAAATGTCAAATAAAACAAACGTTTGTGAAAAATATGAACTGGCGAGACACAGATAATTTAGCTACAGGGGGCGTCTTTGTTTAAAATATTTGCAAGCAATTCGGTCTCTGTTCGAGCTAGCAAAATATCAGCACTGAATATTAAAAGGGCGTGGCACAATTTACCGTTTTATTTAATACTTTCTTTGTGTAACGCAGATTTGAAAACTCAAAATTTTGCAAACAATATACGAGCTCATGAGTACTTTTGGAATATAAATTTTGCAATTTTTGAAAGGCAATATCTCCTCCTATATCACATATAAGGAGTTAAATATTTCACCAATCACTAAGTTTCACAATTTCTTTGAGGTTACCGTGCACCCTCTAGAATGTCTATAGTCCAATGGATGTAGCGCCTCGCGATTACATCACAGATGCCCTTAGCCATATATCAAATTAAAGCTTATAGGTTTAGCTATTCAAACGTTTGTAGGTTTTCCCGAAAACGAACTAGGGAATTTTCCGCGAAGTCTTAACTGGAAGGTATAAATCATAATTTCAAGTTACAACTCAACACGATTTCCTTAGTTTGGGAATTTTATTTTTTTCTCGGGGGCAGGAACCCAAACACTTAAAACTCTGTTTGTTTGTTGAAGTTTTCCGTCCCTTGTTTGATTGCATTCAAAAGTTTCAGAACATTTTCAGAATTTCTGTAAAAACTTACGGAGTGACCTCACAGACCTAGCTCTTAACAAATAATTTTTAGATTTGCCAAATTCCCTAACACGCTTTTGCTGGAGATGACCGAAATCGGCGGACAAATTGCATTTGTGTTATAACTCTTCAAAGTGTCCCCAGCGAAAATAAAGTTTTCAGAAAATATCAGTAAGTGTTCTATCAATAAGAAACTTTTACTTCCGGTTGAAAACGGCTGTATCCATTTCCTTGGTGAGTGTGTGCTCTTTTTGATTTTTGTTTTTTGGGCCTTAACGCTCATCATTCAAAGTTAATTGGTTTTACGAAAAAAACGAAAATTGAAAACAAAATTTACTCTGAAGGTACACGGTAACCTCGAATGTTTGAATAGAATTTTTATCTAGCCCTTCCCGGCATTCCCTAAGGAGAGTCTTGTGCTAACGAGGCAAAATGTAAACAATGACGTCAGCAAAAATTTCTTCATTTACCATCACGAAAAACCAAGTCGTCCAAGGGCAAAATGAAGAATTTGAAACAGGACCCTTCAAATTTAAAAACTAGCTTCCTAAATTACTTGGCCACGCTGCCTCTGTTAGATCAGGAAAATGAAGTGAAAGCAAATCATAAATTGCTCGATACACTGAAGTAAATAATATTATTTGTTATAGTGACCGAAGCAAATGACATGCATCGAAAAGTAGACACATCTGTCAAGAACATGACAGGGATTGTAACAGCCAAGTGAAGCAAGGGTGTGCTGTGTCAAAAATTGAAACAAGCATCCAAAATTTGTAATCGATACTCTACGGATGTATGCGAACTTTTAAGGTTAAAACTGTTTGAAATTTAAATAGATTGGAACGATTTGCCAGTTTTAAGATATAATTTTTTTCCCGAAGCAGAACAACCTGATTTTTAGTTACGTCATACTTGAAGACAAGTAAGTGATTAAGAAAGGAACCTTGTAACGAATAAATTAGGTTGTTCCGGTGTCAATAGACGTCCAAACGGCGTTCTTCTGCGGCCAAAAGATTGAAATCCCCTAACTATTATTTATCTTATCGATATTTTTGTAAATTTACCTTTTCCAGCCTCTGTTGTGGTTAACCTTCAAATAGCGGCTGTCTACTATTTCTGTAACAGGCGTCTTTTCAAATCCACAAATTTTGAAGGAAAATGCTTTTAAAGATCTAAGCCTCGAGCCTTGAATTATTGGACAGGCTTGGAGCATCTACTGGGTCAGATAAACTGCATTCGGGTTGAATTTCTTTGGCGAAATTTCCGGCGAACTAGCTTTGCCTCTGCGAGCAAGTTGCCCAAGTGAATCAACTGATCAAGGGCATCTGCTGTAAGCGACTGCAATGTGCAGTTCACCACCTTACCTAATCATTACCTCATAGCTTGCAAGGGTCACGAAACCCAATTAGAGTGCAAAGTCAAGTGTACAAATTGAATTACGGTAAAGGTGACAAGTCGATCAGAGTTCATGCATTACATTTGTTTCCCAATCGAAAAAGCAATCTTTGTTGCTTGATTAATTTACAGTAGGAACAAAACAACCGCTTATGTTTTGCCTTTCGAGACCGTTGCCAAAATAAGCAAGGTACTAACCAAGGCCCAATCGCTCCTCCATTGGTTTGCCTAGGAAAGTGTTAAGCAAGCTAACTTATGACTATTTAATTAGCAGCGAAAACTTAAATCGACCATGTCAGTGACTTTGTGCACGTCATATAGGTCTGTAACGACAGCTTAAGGGGAACTGTGTCGCCCGGTGCAAGCGCTTCGCGAGGCTGTATGACCTCTTATTTCATTGAAATAAAGTGCCTGTGTCCGGTGACCTAACAGATCTGGCTGATTGGTGTTTCGAATCCTCTTTTTCATTTAACAAATAATGGCAAGAACCTTTACCCGTTGGTCTCTCTTAGAGGCGAAAATGATATCATGGGAATTTTCCAAAACACATGTAGATAAATGCTTTGCCGACAAGTGAACATAGAGAGATACTCAATCAATAATTCATAATTGAAAGCGGAATCGAAAAGCGAAAGATCCTGAAACTTGTCGCATTAATTCCACCAAGAGCTTTTTTCCCTTCTGTGTATTGAGATTTACAGTGCATTGAGAACGGTTCGCAAAAATGAGTGTAAGATCATCAAAACTGCATTTTGAAATTTTGGGTGAATTCTCGCGAAGTTCCGAATGAGAGAGGTCAGAAGATTTTGACCCTCGATTGCCCAGTGTTGACACAAAAAAGTCGGTACTCAGTGTCATTCAAAGACAAACAAATATTTCATATTTAGATGGGTAGTTCACGGGCTCTTTTTAGACGGAAGAAGACCAAAAGACAAGAAATTTGAAATTCTTGCCTGCAAGGCAAGAACTGAAATTACTCATATATTTAAAGAAAACGCGATTCTGAAACTTGTCAAAAGAAATTCTAGAGGCCTTCCGAGGACATCTAATTAATTAAATCAAAACTCTGTTTAGAAAAGTTTCGAACGGTATGCAAAAGTAAGATAATGGTCTATATATGTTACACTCTTGTACGAATAATTGCGATGTATGCCCTTTTTCTAATATAATTGAGAAAAAAAAAAAAGCGCCCACTTGTACCTTTGTGGAGTTCACACAAGCTTCAATTCAGTACAAGCAAATCACCCGGTGGTACAAGACACAAAATCAAAAGATACCACTGAAATAGCAGGCCGTTTTGCCAGGAAAAAAGTCCAAATTATCCACCGTTTGACTCACCTTAATTTGAGACAGACTTGCCTTGTTGAATTGCGAATCTAAGAATGCCATGTGTAGACCAGCCGAGCAACTACGAGGAAACAATTTGAACGGCGCTGTTAAACATATCGATACTTACTTATTAATTACTATCTTAGAGGTAAACATAGCTCCCTTCGAAAACCGTTTCCTGGTTGTTAATTATAGCCACATTTTTCTTTCCTCTAAGTCCAATTATCCCTCTCAAATCAAATAAATCTCGTTAGATTTCCGTCCGTGTTGTTGGTATAATCCACTCTTAAAAAGTGCGTCGTTATTGAGCGCCAACCAAACTGGTATCTTTAGTCTCCTGCCAGAATGGAAATTAATCCTACAAGTACTTTTCTTATCTACTTAAAGACGTGAAACTTTCCAAGATTATTTAACGGGCCAGAGGTACGTTTTACACGAAATAATTAAATCGATATTTTCGGTTTTCTTATATAACTATCATTTCTACAAGATGCTTGCATTAACTCTAATCCGCCTCTGTCATTCCATTACTATTTAGCCTAAGTACTAAACTGCGACAGTTAACTAAGCCCAGTGAAATACAAAATTGAACGCTAAAGGGCTTTTAACCGAAGACTTACCTCGTAATGTCAAATCCGATAACTTCCTTGTCCGTGGCTTCCGGTAAGTTTCTTGAAAATAATGTCGTTTTGTCAAACCTCTCGGCCCAGCCCCTAAACTACCGATTCGACAACAACGATCACGAAATCTCTCTACAACATGTGTTTGTCATTCCATGTTTTAAAGCTCCTGTATTTTTTTGTTCTCGGTATAACTAATCCCACGAAAGGAGGTTGAAGCTGGACTGCACTAGCTTCATCAGCGTGCTAATGAACAGTCACACATGAATGGACATCTTGAAAGGAAACGAAAGCTTCGATGTAATTTTAATGGACTCGCTCTCAAATCTCTCGGCTGGTGACCAAGCACAAAGAGAATTTCTCGTGCATAGAGGGTGAAATCTACCAGATTTCACCCGGAGTGGTGTTAGTTTCAAGGCACTTGATCACAGAGGCGTTCAAACGGAGAGGAGCTAGTTTGGTGTGGTGGAGTTGCGTGAGTGAAGAATTTTTGACAGCCTCTGTAGGGAGTACAACCCTCAAATGATCGAAAGTTAGGCACCTGTTTGCATATAAGCGGCATCTGTGAACTTGCACCTTTGAGGAACGTATTTACGTTGCTGAATTTAACTACCTAAATAAAGCTTAACATAGCAACTGCATTGTCATAAAACAGTCACGAACTACCGCCATGTAATAAAACACTGTTTTGCAACCTGGTTTTCAAATCAGTCCCTTTTTCTTCGCGATTACACCATCCAGAGAAAGGCATTAGCGTAGATTTTTCGCGCCATTCGAAACAGTTAATCTTCTTTCAAAACAGTAATTCGCTTCACTGAATTTGATCGAACCTACAAGCAAATCAGTCACGTTTAAAATAAGTTACGGTCACGGCTAACCATAGGCGCAGATATTTATTGAGCTTCAAAGTGTCGTAGTTTACAATTCCGGCCCGCGGCGACCGGGCTAGAAAAGAATGGCCCGATTCCAGGGCAATCAAGGAATCCCCTCCTACCCGCTGTCAACAAGTTAAGATAGCTATTCCAAATATCACGGGTCTTTTTTTCCAGGTGGCTCTTCGTAGGGGCACGCACAGCGTGCACATAAAAACATTAAGAACAATAGGGAATATCCCAGAAGGCGTGCCATTGGTCAACTAGATATACCGACAAAATTAACTCACTTTTTGGCAGTTTGCGCTTAGTTTCCACCTTTTAATTCATTGATAACGAGCCGACGTAAATTCGTTTAATTTAGAAAAAACTCTAGAATGTATTTAAGCACTGAAATTGTTTGTCACTATAAGAAACGTGCAACTTTCAATTTTTCAGATTGGTGCCTCGAGTCAACTCTTCCATGTGGCTGAGTAAGTTACTCAAGCAAACAGAGTCAAGCATGCATGGAGCGAGAAAGATTCACACCGCATTCTTAAGAGATGATGTGGCCGTGTTGTGGATTTGAATTCAACTACATCCATCCAGGCAAATTAGAAAAATCCCAAGGAATGTTACCTCCAGTGCTCGCTGCCTTTATAAAAATGGCCACGCTAATTTAACGAACACTTCTTTTATCAACAAATTAATTTGAATCACCAGTCTTTAGATCTCCAATGTCTGCTGGACTATAATTCGGGCTTAAACCAGATTCAAACTTCCTTTTGTTGAGGATCATATTTCACTGATACGTGTAGCCACTTTCAAAAAAAAAAAAAATTACCAGCGTTTTCTTTACCGACTCGGAGCTTTTATAACAGCGATTAGCAAGCTTGATAAAAGTTCAAATCGTCTCTTTTACCGTTCTTAATTTAACCTCATTTTTTGTGCTAACCTGTTTCTTTGAGTTGGAAATGCCAGGGTTTGAATAAAGGCCATGGCTATCATCGCTATTTTCAACCTTACGACTCGGCAGTAGGAAACCCTCAGTATTTAATGATACCAGAAATTAGCGACTGAACTGTAGACGGCATTTAATATGGCCGCAGACAAGGCGAAACAAGGGATTATGATGAAAGTAAAAGCCATAACAGTTCGTAGGTGTTCAATGAAAAATCAGTGAGCCGAGCGTAACAGACAGCGTAATACGAAAATTAATTTATCCACTTCATTAAAGCTCACTGAATAATCGAAGCACCGTGTGTGCGGCGTAATTTTCATTACCGTGTTTTAATTTAGAGCTTTGATAGACGCTCTTTGGCAGTAGTTTCACATGAAGTTGGCAAGCCGAAGTTGACAGTCTATTTGAACTCA